TGTTTTTTTTTACTTCAATCTGTATTATGCATAAATATCCCAAAAGAGACTAAGTGGATTTCTATGAATATATGAACCAAACTTTATTGAGAATGCAATATCAATTAAAGCTGCAAGCTGCATTGGAGGCCCTCACAGCAAAACACTGCTCCGACCTTACGGCGACCACGGGAGCTCCAGCTAGTCCACCCAGTCACCATTGCGAATGCTTTCGTGCCAATCCCGCATGCATTCATCATGGGGCGGATTTCCCGAATCTTTGACATCACCTTCCGTCCATGTCGTTACTTGTCCAGCTGCAGGTCTTACAAGTATAGGTGAAATCTGACCTTCCAGACATGCATTATGGTGACTTCCTGTTTTGTTGCGATAGTTTGACAAGTACTTCCTTTATGCTTTTCAACATGTCATGTGGTAATCAACAGTTAGCAAACAAAGTTTCAGTCTAATATCTTACACAGTGCGAAGCTGGAAGTTTTATCCAATAATTGACTTTTTTTCTCTGAGTAGGTGGGGCTTAAGTGAGGTCATGAATCAACAATACCCATGTGTCTACAAGTGCTTACTTATCAATTACAAAAGCTCAGGTTCAGATTGGATGATGTATCACTGAAATATAACTGTTGGAATAATGTAGGTGGCGCACTTGAGTCAAAAGTTAAACAACAATACCAGTGTTTGTAGAAGTGCTCACTAATATACTAAAAACCTGGCCTAGATTGGATGATATTTCACTGAGATATAACTCTTGGAGTTATGTAGGGGGTGTACTTGAGTCATATGTTAAACCACAATAACAATGTGTCTCGACGTAGTCATTGATTATGTACAAAAATTCTGGTTCAGATTGGACGATGTATCACGGAGATATAACTGTTAGAATAATCTAGGGGGCGCACTTGATTCAAAAGTTAAAGAACAATATCAATGTGTCTTTAAATGCTCACTGATCACGCACAATAAATCTGGGACATATTGGATGATATTTCACTGAGATATAACTGTTGGAATAATCTAGGCAGCACACTGGAGTCAAAAGTTAAAAAACATTACCAGTGTGTCTAGAAGTGTTCACTAATGATGCACCCAAAATTTGGTTCAAATCAGATGATATATGACTGAGACAGTGGTGGAGAAAGTACTCAAACACTGTACTTAAGTAAAAGTACAAATAAACAGACAAAAATGTACTCTAGTAAAAGTAGAAGTACCACATTAACATTTTTACTTAAGTAAAATAAATAAGTACTTGCTTTTAAAATACTTAAAGTACTAAAAGTAAAAGTACTTCCTGAAAGTATTACATAATGCAATGGTCTACATATCTTTAAGTCTGCCTACCATATGCATATTTTCTGTAATACATTAATAGTGTTGAGCCATTTTAATGAACAATGCTGCAGATAATACATGGTTTTACTGTGTTTACACTGTGACATAGTTCACACTTGGACTTGTGATTCTGTGCGTCAGAATTTCAGGGATGGCATGCAGAGTTTAATACCATTAATCAAAATAAGAAAGAGGAATTATTATACCTTTGAAAGTTTTTATTTAACACAAAGCAAAACCAATGTGTCATTTTAACTGAAGTAAACACATTTAAGTAAAAGTTGTCTGCCTGAACAAATTAGACACAACTAACAAAGGAATAGGCACTGATCATTTCCACTGATATTTCAAGTCCAGTTTGTAATCAACTCTAGTTAAAATACTGTCTATTCAACCTTGTAATGGGTCAATATTGAACAATATTTTAACTTCCAGACACCATTTTTTAAACTTGGACGTGAAAGTTGAGCCATTTGGAGGAATCTCTTGTCTCCTTTCCTAACATCCCATGAACTGACACATTTTAATATTGCAGCAAGAATTTCTTGTTCAAGTTCAGAAAAAGTTGTTTTTCAAATATTTTTGAGTACAATCTGGCTCTTTTTGGAGAGAGAATCTGTCCTGTTGTACTGAGCAGTCTTTCAATAAGGACATGGGTGGAGCATATCTTCTGGCTGTCTCTCTTGCGGTGGAATACATTTTGGGTGTATTAGTGGTGCTGCAGGTGCACCCAGCTCAGTGACATATATACTAGAATATAGCTCTTCTTGAAGGCGGGCCTAACGTTACCTGCCCACTTTGCAGTGATTCAATGGACCAGCTCCCCTCTCAACATTGGTTACTTTCAAAGTAACAAACAAATCAAAAAGCCGCAACATGAATGTAACTTGTAATGCAATGCATTATAGAAATGTAGTGTAGTAGAAAGTATTGATGCTTGATGTAAAATGTAGTGGAGTAAAAGTATGAAGTACCCACATTTAACTCTACATAAGTAAAGTACAGATACATGAAAAATGTACTTAAGTACAGTAATGAAGTATTTGTACTTAGTTACATCCCACCACTGGACTGAGATATAACTTTTGGAATAATCTAAGGGGCGCACTCGAGTCAAATAACAACACAACTGTATATCGAATTGCTCACTGATCACGCACAAAAAAACTGGTGCAGATCGGATAATATATCATTGAGATATAACAGTTTGAATAATCTAGGGGGCGCACATGAGTCAAATGTTAAACAACAATACCAATGTGTATACAAATGCTCACAGATGACACACCAAAAATCTGTTGCGGATAGGATGATGTATCATTGAGATATAACTATTGCAATAATGTAGGGGGTTCACTAGAGTCATATGTTAAACCACAACATCAATGTGTCTAAAAGTCCTCACTGATCACCACAATAATTCTGGTGCAGATCGGATGTTGTATCACTGAGCTATAACTTTAGGAATAATGTAGGTGGTGTTGTGGAGGCTATTGGCCACTTATCATGGACACCTGTTCAAGGGTGGATAATGATCGATCATAGTGATTTTGGTGCACCTCGGCTGAAATCTGTGCAATTTAGAGCCAAACGTATTGTAACGGTGTCACTTCTTAATTCGCCATGCCGCCACACCCACATCCTCCAGCAAAAACAGTTTGCACTTTAAATCAAGTCAGACTATATTATCTGTCTTCTAACACAGGATCATCCAAATTAGGTCAATGGTGTCAAACAGGGAGCATTCCAAGTTAAAAAAGAGACTTCCTGTTCTGAGGGGGCGGGGCTTTGATGACATCAAAATATGACCACAGTAGATCGTTGGGCACCCAATAGGGATGAGTCATGCCAAGTTTCGTGCATTTCGGTCTTTTAATGTGAACGTTATAGTGTTTTGAACTTTATCACATGAAGCAAAGGTTTGAGGCCTGGCCACGCCCCTTTAACATATACGAAAACGCAAGCTTTAGATATCTTTTACTCTCCAATGCCTTAAGGGCATATCAACCAAGTTTGAAGGCAATCATTAAAAATTCCTAGGAGGAGTTTGTTAAAATTCGCAATTAGAAACGCCCAAAAATTACCCTTTGACCCAAAATGTCCGACTTCCTATTGGTTTTGGACCAGGGCTCCAAGAGACTTTTTCATAGGTCCTGAGAAGATATAAATGTTCACCGAGTTTCAGAATTATCGGTCAAAAAATGGCTTGGGTCTAAGGTTTTAAATTATTCTAGGGGGCGCTGTGGAGGCTATTGGCCACTTATCATGGCTTCCTGTTCAATGGGTGGATAATGATCGATCATACTGATTTTGGTGCACCTTGGTTCCAAACTGTGGAATTTAGAGCCACACGTATGGCGACAGCATTACGTGTTACTTCACCACGCTGCGCCGCCCACACGCTCGTCCCAAAACTGTCAGTGTTGGAAAGCAAGTTACACCAACATGTCTTCGGTCACTGGATACACTATCATGCTGATCAGGTAACAGGGGTCAGATAGGGATCGTTCAACGTAAAACTATACTTCCTGTTGTCAGAGGGCATGGCTTAAGTGATGTCATGATTTGACCATTCAGTCTTGCAGGGGACTGGATGTGGATAAGTCACTGAAGGTTTGATGTTTCCGACGGTTTTCTTGTAGGTGTTATTAGCATTTCGTTTTTCATGGCGAGATGTCAAACTTTGAGGTCTGGCCCCGCCCCTTCAGCATGCTCCGAAATGAACCATTTAGATAACTTTGCATCCCCCATGCCTTTTGACCAAAATGGCCAAGTTTGAAACCGATTGAGCGAAAACCCTAGGAGGAGTTTGTTCAAATGTGGAGGCTGTAAACCGCCAAAAAGGTGTGAAAATTGGGCCGACATTCCAAAATGGCTGCCTTCCTGTTTAGGGAAGGGTTTTCTGTGCATCTTGGGTAATTGGACAAGCGTACCAAATTTCATGTTTCTACGACAAACTAAGGTTAAAGCGGAGGGTATTCTGAAAATTTCTAGGTGGTGCTCAATCTGTTTCTTTTGCGATTTTTGCAACGCCCTTAAAATACGTAATTTTTCACCAGCCCTGATGCGTCCACCAAATTTGGTGACTTTTGGGATATGTTAAGGCCCCCAAAACGGCAATTAATTTGGCGGAAAAAATTGCAGCTCGGGCCTGAACAGAGTGATTACAATAGGTCTTCGCAGCGCTTCACTGTTCGGGCCTATTGAGTGTTGCTGCACTTTGAATCAAGATGGGCTGAATGGAAAACATATCCTCTGATTTTATGGTAAATGGACTGTACTCATAAAGCGCTTTTCTATATAATCAAGAGACTCAAAGCTCTTTACACTACAGTCTGTGCCCTCATTTACACAGCACTCTACTACATCTCTACAAAGAATAAACAGTGCTTTTTATTACATTCATACACCAATGGGACACACATCGGAGGCTCTTGTCTTCCCCAGAGACAATTCGGCATGAGACTGCTGGTGGAATCGAACCCCAAACACTCGCATTGGAGGACGATTGCTCTAACCACTCAGCTGCAGCTGCTCATGGCAAATAATACCACATAGGGTTTTTTTTGTTTGTAAATGAAAAACAGTGCAGGACTATGTAAATAATTTTGGGATGGAGATTTTATGATGTTTTGTGTGTTGTCCGCTCATATACTAAACCCCCATCATCAAAACAGCTTGGAGTTGGCTAAATCACTGTGGAAAATTTTTCCAGAAATTACCATCCTGAAAGCTGATCGAAACCAGCTATAAAAGAAAGCATAAATTAAAGGATTCAGCATTGAATTAGAAAGAGTGAGCCAGTTAAGTGTTTCAATCACAGGAGCTGGTGGTGGACTATAAAATAAAGGCTGGAAGACAACACAAAAAAAGTATGGAGTGAGACACAAAAGAAAAACTCCCATAACAACGGCAAGGGTTTTGGTGGCTTTTCTCTCCATCCTGCTAACAGCTGCTCCAGACTTCGTACCGAGACTGTTTGCGTTCTGAAGGCTGTGCACTTGTTTCTGCGCAACAAGGAAAATCTTTAAGTAAATACAGAGCATTATGACTGCAGGGAAATAAAAAGAAAAAACAGGCCCCATTGTGTTGGCCACTATAACATCAGCTGAGCATGTTTCTTCACACGTACCTTGACTGAATCCTGCAATTGTGATGCCAATTCCAATTAGAGCTGAGACTACCCAGCTCACAATGATCATAACCAAAGTTACCTGAGTGTTTATTTTTGTCCTGTAGGTCAGAGGCTCACACACCGCATAATATCTGTCAATGGAAATGCAGCACAAGTTTAGAATTGAAGATGTGCACAGTATAACGTCAAAGCTGTCCCGTATTTTGCAAAAGAAATTCTCATGATGCAGACATGAGCTCACAGCGAATGTCATACTGAAAGGAAATACTAAAACTCCAACAAGCAGGTCAGTAACAGCCAATGACAGGATGAGGTAGTTTGTGGGAGTTTGGAGCTGTTTGAAATAAATAATGGAGATTATCACAAGCAGGTTTCCGCTCACAGTGAGAGCAGACAGTGAGCCAAGAAAAATATACAAAAACACACAGGTAAAAGTAGGATTACTTGCAAATGTATATGTTCCATTGTCTAAGTCATAGCAGGGATGTAAGTCATTTTCAACACTGCTGCTGATGCCAGTGGATTCCATGTAGAAGATTTCCACATGATCAATCTGTTATGTGAAGAAAATAGGGACATGATTTAGTTCAGAATCAGAATCAGAATGCCTTTATTGTCATTATACGCAAGTACAATGAAATTAAGAGCTACTCCTTTTTTCAGTGCAAAAATATGCTTAAGAAAACACACTAAAAATATAAAAATGTAACGCAATATAGATATAATAGCACTATGAAAGTAAAAAATACAAGTATTTCACAATTATATTGCACATTATGGATACTAGTGAGGTAGTTATGGTGATTGAGAGTATGAAATGTCAGTAGTATTGCAATGTGTTCAGTGTGTTCAGGTCTTGTCATTACTATGACTATGGGTGATTGGATTTAGATCTGGTTTTTCATTGATGCTGATTCTGTTTATGCTTTTGTTATTATTCCTATTTAACACAAGGTCATCTGATCTGATTTAGTATTTCATTGTTTCTGACTGAGTTTATGCTTTTTGTTTTTATTTCCTTGACTTTTGACACAACATGATTTGATTTAGTATTTCATTGTTTCTAATTGTATTTGGTTTTATATTTTTATTCCATGTGCTGTAAATATATCTTGCTACTTTTTATCTGTTGATGTGATATTTTTGTTAAGCACTTTGGTAACAGTTTCTGTTTTAAATGTGCTCTATAAATAAATCTGACTTGACTTGACTTGACTATAATATACAATTTTTAAATAAAACATTTTCAATTTGTTAGAGATATTCTTACCTAGTATATGCCCATCTAGTGTGCCCTCTGATTCTCTGTCAATGCAAGTTTGGTTGTTCGGATTTAAATATCCTGTTCTCATTACCATATTCAAACAATCATTCAACCATCTGTGGCATGTTGTCTTATTTGCATGGGTTTAAAAAAATACACATCGTTACACATCAAATGTTGTGGGTGTGTATGTTAGACAACTGAGCAGATTATAGTAACTTCCCTAAATAACAATAAAAAAATCCTCAGGTGCTTCTAATATAAAATAGCCCATTTACATTTGCTGTTTGTAGCAAATGTTGGAACAATCTCACAGTATATTGAAATCAAGGTTCAAGGTTCTTTATTGTGATTGGCATTACATGTTCTACATGAGGTGGAACAAAATCGTGTACTCAAGGACCCAGTTACACCCAAAAATAGCAAAAATATAAAGTATAAAAAAGAGAAACATTATACAAGCATATAAGATATATGCTAAACAATAATAATGTAATATAATACTTTGTATTAAACAGCAGCCTGAACATGAGTGTGCCATTACTAGTGCATGTCTGATGCAAAGGCTATTTAACACCTTTCTCATATCACAACTCTGGAGACCGAAGACTGTTGTCAGCAGGTTTAATGACATTCAAAAGGGTGAAACTACAAAAAAAAAGACAAACAGTACAATTAAAATGTGCATGTGTACCGCAAAAAATGCACTTCCACAGGGAAACTGAAAGCAAGAAAAAACAACACAACCAAAATGTACACATGCACAGCCCAAAATGCATCTCTATACTAGATTTCTGCTGAATATCATCCTAAATATTTCTATATGTATGAACTTACACTACCGACTCTATTTTGGACAACCTCGTAAATCGTGGGTAATTTGCATGACAAAAAAAAACTCATTTCACAGCCAAATAATACATTAGTGGGCTATATTTAGCACAAAAACAAAGTTACAAAACTAATCCTTCAGTACATACCGGCAATACAACCCCAAACAGAAGATACATGCAGTAATCTTCCTGCAACAAGACACCATGAAATGGTTGACAACGTCACTTGTTACAATGGCCGTCTTGTATAACAGCCACCACTGTTCAATAAAGTTTTGGTCCTGCTAAAAAAATAAAAAATAAAAGGTTGTCAAGTTGTAACACCTGAAACAAACACATGAGGGCAGTCTTTCACTTTTTTGTTGTCCTACATGGATGAAATTTGTTTCTGAAACCATAACATTTACAAATACATAACAGAACACTCCCCGTCTGGCGTGAATAAACGCCACAAATTGAGTCTTTAGGAAAAACAAGATATTTTATGAAGGAACCAAAACTACAGTCTCTGAGATAGGTCTTATTAAAAGCTTTGAACCATCTGATTTGACTACGTTAATTTCTACTTTGTGTACTCTATCATCTTTACTTGGAAAGACCAGAGTTATAAGACCAAGAGGCCATTCATTTCTTGGTACTTGACTGTCTTTGAGTACGACAACACTTCCTAAGCTCACGTTAGGTTGGCTGGATTGCCACTTGCGACGTGACTGGAGGAGGACAGTAGGAAGGAACTCTTTCTTCCACCTGTCCCAGAAGGTGTTTGACAGGTGCTGAACCTGTCGCCACTGGTTATAAATATCTGACGCCATGAAGTTACCAGCTGGAGCCCGAAGAGGGATGATCTTCTGAATCAGAAGAGCAGCTGGGGTCAAGATGAAAGGGTCACTTGAGTCTGTAGAAACTGGGACAAGAGGTCACGCATTTATAATAGCTGCCACCTTTAAGGTGTTGAGAACTTCATTAGTTAGCTTTGTGATGTTGAGTTTGAAAAACACAGGACAATATTCTCCGGGCCAGGCCAATCATTCTCTCCCACGACCCACCAAAGTGGGAAACATGCGGTGGGTTAAAAGTCCAAGTACATCCACGTTCTTTCAAGTAGGTCTGTACAGCTGTATTATCCAAGTTTGAGGAGATCTTTAGTTCCTTACATGTGCTGACAAAGTTGGTACCTCGATCAGAACATATAGTTTTAACAGGTCCTTTTATTGCCAGAAACCGTCTAAATGCATTAATAAAGCTAGATGTGTTGAGTGAGTCTACCACCTCAATGTGAACTCAGGAATGTGAATATGACAGCCCACCTTTTGTTTTGGTTAACACTTCCTCTGGTACGTCGGGAAGACACAAACAATGAGCTGAACACATCTAAACCCACATTTGTGAATGGATGGTTTGTTGCAAGTCGGTCTGGAGGGAGTATCCTGATGCATGCTCAATGCATGGGTCTGGAGGGAGGTTTCACATTTTTGGTGTGCCCAGAGGGACACAAAATCTTTTGCAGATTACACAATGATAGATGATTGTGCTCACCTTTCCCTTGCCACCCACTATCCACCATCCTGCAGAACGTATAGCTCCTTCAGTAAACAGGTGACCTTGATGCTGGACCTTATCGTGGTAGCGCTTTATTAGAAGAGTTGCAACATGGTGGTGGCCTGGAACTATAAGCGGGTTCTTCTCACCTTGGGTCAAATTTGAGTTGGTGATGCGTCCTACCACTCTAAGGAGTCCATTTTCATCCAGATAAGGGTCCATGTTCTTGAGAGGACTGGTTTTGGGTAGCTTCTCATTTTTTTGTACACACTTGATCTCTGTGTGATCTCTTGATCACACTTGAAAATTATTATGATTGAAATAATTGTTTGAAAAAAGGGGCAGATATATTAAGATTTTTTCTTCTTTCTGCTGTAGTGAACTAAGCCTAAGGTCAAAACCCTTGACCTTAAGAACCTTGTGGGACAGAAACTGTCATTTCATTGATTTGAATCCAGAAATACAGGTTGACCCATCCTGAGACTTTCTTTCTTGAAAATTCAAGTGAAAGAACACTCTTTTATTATCATTACTATTTTACAAATGTTGATAATCAAAGTGTTTTAGTTCAAACCATTTTAGATGTTGCAGTGAACTAATCATTTTTAATTAACTGTGAAAACAGTAACAATGATTATTTTTAATCCTCATGCAAAGTTAGAATTCATGTTAAGGTCTGTTACAGAGTAATTATGCATTTTCTGATTTTCTGTCTTTGAATGAGCAGCGTAAGTTTGGTCCAAGGTCGGTGTCTAAGCAGACAAGTGTTGGAACGAGCTGTGTTGTTTTTAAATCCTCTCAGACGTAAACAGAGAAGCTGGCACCTGTTTTCCCAAACTCGCCCAAACATTTCTCTCGTCTGTCTGAAAAAGATTTTCAATCTGTTCCATAACATTCTTGCTGTTTTCTGACTTCTAGTAACCTTTTACGTCACAAAACACACCCCTGTCTGGTCGACATTGACCAATAAGAAAACTCCCAAATGAACCGGAAATAGAGCCCTTTAAAATGTCGGTACTTCCTAGTTCACCCCAGTTCCTGTTGGGTCGCAGTTCCTGTTGGGTCGAAGTTCCTGTTGAATCGAGCCGAGGTTGCGGTCGAGCTCCCGTGCTGGGAAACAGGAAGGTCCTGACATGACCACAGAGCTCTTCCGAGTCTTATGGGATTATAACTTTCTTCCACATCTGGGTGGAACTCTGACGGACTCCACTCATGTGAAGTCCACTTGCTGAGGTGAATTTGTGTCGAACGGAATACCGTCACTACTTCGGACGATTCACAGCCATCCTACGGAGACGCTGGACAGGTAGCGTTAACTGGAACTCCGTATCCGCTGAGTCATCTTCAGAGAGGTAACGAGTCAAGTTTACTACCGAGCGTACCGAGGAAAGCTGGGTTCGAATGGAGAGTGTCGTTTCTGGTGCCGACATAAACAAACCCCCTCACCCATCTTTTTCTCCCTCTAAACTTCATTTTCCATCTTTAAAATTCTTCTATCAAGTAGAAATCACTCCAGATATTTTAGAAATGTCTGTGTAAAGTTCTCACCCACCGCCGTGTGGACAATCAATTGTGCAGTTTGCTAAACTAGCCATGTTGTTATTTTTCATATTTTGCCAATTAATGTAAATGTGTGATGTTAAACTTTGATTCTGTAAATAAATGACCACATTCATTTTGATGGGTCAAAGATAAATAATGTCTCACAATACATTTTATTAAATTCAATGCACGCATGTTATACAGTCCAGAAAAATGAAAGAACCCGTTTAATTGATGAATATATCTCATGCATATGTTCATCTACATACTGGTGGCCCGTTACGCGTTCATAAATGGACTGTGTATGCGTGTAATAATTGATTTTACATGTTGGCATGAAAAATTGCAGATTATGCTGTGAAAAAGTGCAGATTTTGCTGTGATGGAACGCAGTGCAGCTGGGACGCTTGGAGTAAACGCAGCGTGTTGAGCTGAAACAGAAATGTTAGCAGCTACTGGTGCTTTGAAAGCTGAAAATTGTGAGTCAACGTGTCTGTTTGAAAGCTGAAATTGTACGTCTGTGGTGTGTGACGAGTTTGCTGAGCTGTGGAAATGCTTTATTCTATTCAAACTGTGTTCCAGACGCTGTTCTGGTCCGGTTCGGTTTCTGAAAAGTTCGACCGGTTGGTTTTAGATGGTTGGGAAGACGTTTTTAATGCCGGGGCGCCGACTCCATGCAGCTCAGAGCTTGATTCGTTACATTTTTAGCAGGAAATGGTACATTTTGACGGTTTAAAAGATGAAAAGTTGACGGACTTTTTCATGCTAAGGCGAACATGCTAGTTGGAAAAACGCTGCGTGATTGGTTGAAATCAGCTGCTGTGTAACGCTTTCATTGGCTGAGAGACGTGTCAGTCGTGACTAACTCTGACGTGTCAGGTCGTAAAGCCCACCCCGTGCTGCTCTGTCATTGGTAGATTCAGTCACGTGACCCGGAAATGAAGCTCGTCTTCTTAGGGAATTAAAATCTGTTTTTTAAAGCTGAAATACGCTTTAAAGTTGATTCTGATACGCTGCTCCGTGTCTTTGAAGCATAATCGCTGAAATTTTGCTACGTTTGAGTTTAAAATCCGTCATTAAATGATGTTTTTGAACAACGCTAGCGATGCTAATTTTAAGCTAACAGCTAACGACCGGATGAGTGACGTGTCATGTCACTTCCTCCATGTCAGATGGAAATAAGTTCGGTTGCAACCGAAGCCCTTTGCTGTGCTTAAAATCACTAAATAAAGCTGCCACATGTCCCTGAAAACTCATGTTCATGCAAAGAAGTCGTGCTTGTTGAAACAACGCCAAGTTTAAGCTTTAAAACCGTTCAGAAATGTTGATTTTAACCGAGTTTAGCCGAAGCTAACTTTAAGCTAAGCGGCTAACAACAGGATGTCAACAGAACGTCACAGGAAGTTGTCATAGACTCCTGCTGGTAGAAAGCTAACACCGCCACCTGCTGGGAAAGAGGAGTATAACGGTTTTCTGAAAAAAGACTGAAACTCCTCATAACAGCTTTTCTTTTTCTGTTCACCACCTGGTTCTATGAGTAGCTGTTAAATGGCGAGTTTCTGGAAGTAAACGGTTTAAAAAGCGTTTTTAAACTGATGTGCTGTGAGACTTTTAGAAAAATTGCAGGTTTATAAAAATTCAGTGCTTTAGCGTAAAAAAACACTCAGAGGCTTGGTAATCTAGTATCTGTTAAGAAATAAGCACGTTAAGTAACACTGCCAGAGAAGCATTTACTTAAGAATATTCATGAATTGGGGTAAAACCTACAAATAGGTACCCACATTTGAATAAGTTGACTTATAACAGTACTTTTGTGTAAACCCAAAGCTAAAATAGTGTGAAACTCATTGACATTTGAATACAATTATTTACCTGTAAAAATATCTGAAGCTGGCAATTGTTTTATCCAGAAAAAGTGCTACACAGTGTATGAACATGACAGGTGTGGTAGAAAAAGATTTTGATCCTTATGAGATGAAGGGCTGTTTAGAGGATGCGTTGAAGCTGCTGACAGGACCCTTACATCCATATGGCAAACAGGCGGAGAGCATGAACCCAAAAGAGTTAGTGGACAATCTGATGGAGGTTGCAGAGAGTGTGACCTCTACAGAAATTACAAGGTCAAACTATGAAAAGCTGGCTAAAATTGCAATTTTGCTGAAAGAATCATTCTATACAGTTGTTGAGAAAGCTGATTACCTTGCAATACGGTTAGACAGTGAAAAAGAGGTGGTTCAGAAAATTGAAGAACACTTCCTTCAATTTAAAAGTGAACACGAAGTCCTCACAAAAAAACATTCTGAACAGATGTTTCAATCACAGCAAGATGCACGTGCAGAAATAGATTCACTGAATAGCAACATACAGTTACTTAATGTATCACTATCTGAAGCCAGGGATGCTAAAAAGCTGTTGTCCAGAGAATACTTTGCATTAAGACGGGATCACGTCGTGACAGTGTCACAAGTTTCCCGCTGCAAAACTGAGATAGATGTGCTTAAAGCACAACTTGACAGTTGCAGAGTGGGAAAAGAGGCACTACTCCAACATTGTGTGCGTTTACAAGGTGAATGTCAAACATCACAGGAACGCCTGAAAGCTTGTGAGGAGAAACTAAGAGCAGCAACAAATAAAAGTTCTGACGTGGGGCGAGTTTGTCTGGAACTCAGAGAAGACCGTGGACAGAGTCCAGGTCACCCACAAACACCTCAGAAAGATGTTGTTGCACCTCCACATTTATGGAGAGAAAAACCTCCAAAAATCTATTACACACCTCTTGCTTTTAAGCCCATTAAAAAAACACCCTCACCTAAAGTGGTAGGAACAGACCTGAACAGGTCTCCTCCACCAAACATGCAACAGTGTGCTGTGAATGTGTTCGAGGCATGTTCTCATGCTAAGACGCCCATAGAAGTGTTTCCTGGTATAAAGGTTAAACCCCACTCCCTAGAAATGGAAGGAAGGCGCGCGTCGCCACCTCCTCCTAAAACAGGCGAGAAAAAGCAGTATTTTCAAACTAACATACCACGTAATGAAGGTGCACGCTGGGACAAAAAGGCTCCTCTTTCAGAGGATGAACGTGATTATCGTGAATGGGATATGCGTAGGACGCAAAGATATGGGATCCAAGTGGACCCATATTATCAGGGGAAGTCCGAAGAGGAACCCCCAAAAGACGTACCTAACCCTCCCCCACCTCGGACGAAACGAACCGAGGCGATAAAATCACAAAGGTCCCAGGAACAAGGCCCTACACCTCTGAGCTCGGAGGAGACAGAGAAACTACAAAGGTTTGTAGAAACTTTGAAAAACGCTGAAATGGGAATCCAACCAGGAGCACAATGTAGTGATCTGATCGCTACTAAATCTGAAGGCGCGAATGACAACATTACAGATGTCGGTGAAACACACCAAGACATTGCTGTCGTTGCCTCCAACAACCCCTCATCGGACGAAAGGGGGGTAAACTCACACACAAACGATGATAAGTCATCGCAAGCTGAACACTCAGAAACAGCTACTGCTGTGCTGACAGTTCAGACAAACCGAGATTATGCAGACAAAGCTGAACGCGTGAAGAAGCGTCAGAAAAAACCCAAGAGGTTTCTGTGTAACTTTATCAGAAGGGGGGTCGCCAAAAAGGCGTACCTGTCAGTAACACTCGAAGGTGTCCTCACACA